TCCGCATGGTCAAAACAATGGTATTCCCAGTAGTACTGTATGGCTGTGAGAGTTGGACTATAAGGAAGGCTGAGCGCCGAAGAATAGATTCTTTTGAACTATGGTGCTGGAGAAGACTCTTGAGAGTCCCTTGGACTGCAAGAAGATCAGATCAGTCAATCCTAAAAGAAATCAACCCTGACTGTTCCCTGGAAGGCCAGATAATGAAACTGAAGCTCAAATACTTTGGCCACCCAATGAGAAGGGAGCCCTCACTGGAGAAGACCCTGATGCTGGGAAAGATTGAAGGTCAAAGAAGACGGGGGGACGGCAAAGGATGAGATGGTTAGACAGTGTCATAGATGCAACAAACATGAAACTGAGCCAACTTCAGAGGACGGCGGAAGGCCTGGCGTGATCTGGTCCATGGGGTTGCGAAGAGTCGGACTCGACTGTGCGACTGAACAACAACAACCCTCAGCAGGGATGTGATGCCATAGAGTCCACCCTCCAAAACAGCCATTTTCTCCAGGGGAAATTATCTTTGTAGTCTGGGGGTCAGTAGGAATTCTGGGAGATCTCCAGGCACCACCTGTAGATTGGCAGCCCTAGTTCTGCTACAGCATGAGGTTATTATCTACACATTATGCAGCAGCAAACCTGAGCTTGCCGTTGACTCAAACATTCACCAGGGAGCAGCAGTTCATTTTGGTTGAGAGTAAACATCCCAGGAGTGTTTAACCTCTTCCTGAAGTACTTCACAGTACCTCAGCAATTCTTCTCACAGCAACCCTGTGAGGAAAGTCAATCTTCTCTACCCCTGCCCGCGGCCAAGTTTCTTTTTTTTTTAGAACACAATTTTATTTTTCATGAAAATATTGACATGTCATCAGTTCCATTAATGTTTCAATTTTTACCCCCAATATCCCCACTTTACTCTCCCCCTCCCCGTGGCTTCCCGCAATGCTTCCCCCCTCGTCACTCCAGTACACCTTAAGATAACATCATATTTTAGTTTCAATATTGTTCTAAATATAATAGATTGTGCTTTACATCCCAGTTCTTTTCTAGGTAAATTTTAAAGTCTCTCCATTCCTCATAGAATTCCTGATCTTCTTTGTTATTCAATTTTTTCGTAATTTTGTCCATCTCAGCCATAAACAAAGTTTTTTGTATCCATTCTTCGAACTCTGGAATTCTTTCTTGTTTCCTGCTCAAAAGCCAACCCGCGGCCAAGTTTCAATGCTGGGATGAGGCTGAACAATGGCTTAATCCTCTGGGTGGCCAGGTCCCCCTTTGTCGGGCCGGGCCATGTGTACCATAAAACGTAATGCCAGGTACCAGAGATATAAACTGTATAAAAGACAGCAGCTGGTAAGGTCCCCCCCTTCCCCCCCTCTTTTTGTCCTTAGTGCAAGGCCCCATGGGCTGGGAGGGGGGGCAGAGGAAAACTCACATGGGAGGGCTGGAGAGGCAGCAGTGCAGCACTAGGCAGACACTCCCATGATGCTTGACTGCTGCAGATGAGGTTGTTCCACCATCCTGAAGCCACAATGGAGTGGCTCCACCCTAGCACTCCCTCCCTTGCATCAATTGCTCGCGGGCCGCATAAGAGACCTGGACGGGCTGATTCTGGCCCCCGGGCCTTATGTTTGACATCCTTGGTGTAGAGTCTACCCTCCAAAGCAACCACTTTCTCTAGGGGAACCGATCTCTGTAATCTGGAGATGAGCTGTAATTCCAGGGGATCCCCAGGTCACGCCTGGAGGCTGGCATCCCTACCTCACTGGTAATCCTGTGTCTGGACTGTACTTCAGAGTAAAGTTGGGGGCTCACGTGGTTGAATGCTCCTCCGTACAAAAAAAAATAATCCTTGCACAAAGAAAATTTAGCATGTTGAGAACAGTTCTTGCCTAGCCTCTTCTCTGCTAATTTTCTATGGGAAAGGAAGTTGTTGCATGGAAGAACATTCAGTTCTTTCAACCCCACTTGCAATTTAGGTCCAGATTCCAGACACAGATTCACCACCTCAGGGAGAATTAGGCCATAGTAGTTTACAAGATACATAGGTAAAGGTAAAGGTTTCCCTTGCTCAAAAGCCAATCGAATCTGACTCTAGGGACACAGTGCTCATCTCCATGTCCAAGCCAGAGTCAGCGCTGTCCAAAGACGTTTCCGTGGTCATGTGGCCAGCATGACTAGATGCCGAGGCACACGGAATGCTGTTATCTTCCCACTGAAGCAGTACCTATTTATCTACTTGCGATTTCTTGCTTTCAAACTGCTAGGTTGGCAGGAGCTGAGACCAGAGACAGGAGCTCACTCCGTCGTGTGGCACTCGGGACTCGAACTGCTGAACTACCGACCTCGTGGTCTGCAGATAAAGTGTCTTAACCGCTTGAGCCACCGCAGCCCACCAGGTACATACCACCTAGTAAATTCAAGGTATGTGAAATTTTGAATCAAGGACTTTCTTGCTCATATAATACAGTTGTCCACACCAGTAGCTAGGATTACCACCCTCCAGGTGGGGCCTGGGGTTCTCCAAGGGTTGGAACTGATCTCCAGATTACGATTAATTTCCCTAGAGAAAATGGCTGCTTTGGAGGGTGAACTACGGTCTTATACCCTGCTGAGGTCCCTCCCCTCCCCAAACCTTGCCCTCCCTAAGGTAGACCCCCATATCTCTGGGAATTTCCCAACCTGGAGTTGGCAACCCTACCTCCAGGGAAACTTGGGGCCACTGTGTGAAATAAACCTACCATGTCTTTGATCCAGCAGGGCTCTTCTTATACTTTTATGTTAAACTTAAAATGTCTTAGGATAGAAACCTAAAAAATAATGAGAGAAATGTCACAAATATGTTTTAAGCCCATGGATATTTTCACACAGACATTTTGCTCCATCTTGGATGCCATACTGCAGCTCTGTTTTCAGGAGCACTCACTCCGCATCATCCTCTATTCGTCTCTACCCTTATTTTCTTCGACACTTTGCTTCAATCTTTCCCAGACCTGATTTTTTTTTTGTACAGTGTGAAAGAACTCCGCTTCTTGCCCTGTATGTTCCTCCTAGCAACGCACCGGATCCCCATCCTCTGGCCGTCTATTCCAGGATCGTTTATCCACTGTCAATAATTACAACTTATGCCACGCAGCTTGCAAGTTTCACTCTTTGGGAGTGTGACTCTGGGACAGACGTCCCAAAGGCCTTTGAGAGAACAGCCATTCTGATTACATCAACTGACCTTTTCTTTTTTGAATGTACAAACTGGCCAGCAGCAGGTCTCATGAGCCAGTTCTTATGTAAACACGGGGGGG